AAGAATGGATGCTTTCTTCCTAGATTTCTTGGTACTGGAATTCCATTTCCGCTTTTTAGTATGCTTCCCAAAATTATGCTTGTGAATTTTTTTAGTAGCTCCTATATTTTTAGTTATAAATGAAATTTTTGTTTTCTTTTGAATTTCAGCTTTAGGATGATTTTTAGGTTTTGAATTCTGTATGGATGATCTTTCTTCTTTTACTTTTAGACCTTTTTTCTTATTTTTATTTTTAGGAAGTAATGGTGCTTCTTTAGCCTTTCTCTTAGATAAATTTGTAGAGGGTGCTTCTTTAGCCTTTCTCTTAGATAAATTTGTAGAGGGTGCTTCTTTAGCCTTTCTCTTAGATAAATTTGTAGAGGGTGCTTCTTTAGCCTTTCTCTTAGATAAATTTGTAGAGGGTGCTTCTTTAGCCTTTCTCTTAGATAAATTTGTAGAGGGTGCTTCTTTAGCCTTTTTCTTAGATAAATTTGTAGAGGGTGCTTTTTTAGCCTTTCTCTTAGATAAATTTGTAGAGGGTGCTTCTTTAGCCTTTTTCTTAGATAAATTTGTAGAGGGTGCTTTTTTAGCCTTTCTCTTAGATAAATTTGTAGAGGGTGCTTCTTTAGCCTTTCTCTTAGATAAATTTGTAGAGGGTGCTTCTTTAGCCTTTTTCTTAGATAAATTTGTAGAGGGTGCTTTTTCCTCTTGATCAGGAATTGATCCTGGTAAAGAATCTGTTTTCTCTTCAACTTCAAGTTTGGATTCTGGTAAAGGATCTGTTTTCTCTTCAACTTCAAGTTTGGATTCTGGTAAAGGATCTGTTTTCTCTTCAACTTCAAGTTTGGATTCTGGTAAAGGATCTGTTTTCTCTTCAACTTCAAGTTTGGATTCTGGTAAAGGATCCGTTTTCTCTTCAACTTCAAGTTTGGATTCTGGTAAAGGATCTGTTTTCTCTTTAACTTCAAGTTTGGATTCTGGTAAAGGATCTGTTTTCTCTTTAACTTCAAGTTTGGATTCTGGTAAAGGATCTGTTTTCTCTTCAACTTCAAATTTGGATTCTGTAACTTCTAACATTTTAAGTTTTTCCCACAATTTTATTGTGTTATCTTCATAGTGGATACATGTTGATTTTTGTCTGCGATTAATCAATTCTTTTATCAGTTGACTATGGGGTTTCTTGTCTTGGTATAATTCTATTAATTTCGTTTTTACGTCATCCCAATTATCAAAATCGTACAAAGAAATTCGAATCTTGGCATTACCAGTGATTCTGGAGTAGATGAATCTGAAGAGTGGATACTTATTCTCTTCAGAGGACAATTCGATAGCATTATCACAATCAGAGATAAATGCATTAAGTTGGTTCCTTTCTCCGGAAAAGAAATTAGGAATTAGACTACACAAGAAATCAAGGGGTATTTGGGATGGGTTGAAAACAGGTTGATCAAGTTTAGGCATTGTTCACAAAATGAGTTACCTATTACTACTACTTACAATATAAAGAAATTCTGATAAAGAGTTAAAACCCACCAACATGAAACGAATTACTTAAGAATTCTCCGGTTTCTTGTCGTTCAGAATGATCCTTCATCGACTGCGCCAAAATTTTAATATGTTATATTCGGTTCGTTCTTTATTTTTGTAAGTAATGAACAAGCACTTAAAACTATCACAAAACTAATATTAATAAACAAGAACTTATTACAGCTAGACTAAAAATCAAATGAACCAACGCCAAGCTGTGTAGCTTGCCTATATTACTTTGGTCTTTCGTCAGTCAACTGTTTCGAATGTTCGAGCAAACACTTGCAAATAAAATAAAAGAAGGAGTCTTTAGAAGCTTCGCTTCTAAAGAAGAACAATTCGAGTTCGTCGCCAGTCTTTTGTTTATAAAAATTTGAAAATGTGAATATTGAGTACGGGATCATAACAATATATATATAAACTCACGGCATTCGACCCCTGACCTTTTAATTTATTTTCTACAACCCTCGAACGAAGGGAAAAAATTCGCATTCTGGCTTAGCTTTTATTTTCAAGCCCAAAAAAAAAAGAAAAAAGAAAAAAATTTTCCTACTAGGGGCTTTTTAACATCAAAACGAATAAAATTTAATCTAGACGTGGATAAAGTTTGCGTCGTCTGCTTTTTACTTCCCCTTTTACGTAAAATCTCTTTTTTTTTTATTTCAATTTTATATAAATGTTCGACTATAATTTTTATTTTTTATTTTTTTTTGTTTCAGACCCAAGAGGACACTGCTATGGGTGGGCTTAATTCTGGGCCTGGTCCTGGATTAACTTTATTTATAGCAATTTTTTTACTATTGGCACAAACTGTTTTGACCGGTAAGTTTTTTTCACTCTTTTCTTTTTTACACGTTGCTCCTTGATGACGGGTGTGAGTGCACGTGTTCAATCGTCACCTTTTACTTAATAATTTAATGACGTATTTAAAAAAATCCCCCAATTTCCATATTTACCACGTAAAGATGATCTGAAACGTTTGCTTGAATGACGAGTGAATGACGTCATAGGTATATATAATAAATTATTACTACCGAATTCCAATGTAATAAAAAAAATTATAACTCGATATTAATGATAATTTTTTTTTGTTTATTTATTAATAAATTATTTTACAATGAAGATTATTCATTACATAAATTGGTGATTTATTATTATTATTATTATTATTATTTTACGCTCGAAGGAAAAAATTAAAAAATTAAAAAAAAAGTAGCCGACGAATTAATTAAAAATTTTACACGGTCTACGTGGTTTTTGTTATGAAATAATTTTTTTTTTTTTGGAATATTTATGAAAATATTCGTTCGTATCGATCGATGACTTTCATATTATCTCATTTAATAATAATAATAATAATAATAATAATAATAATAATAATAATAATAATAATAATAATAATAATAATATTAATATTTTCACGCCGTAAAAAATCAATTTGAAACCGTAAAGGAAAGGGAAAAATTTTTTTTTTTAAACGGACAAACGAAAATGAAAATGAAAAAAAATTGCAAAATGCTACGTGTACATATATGCAAATGAAAAAAACTATTTCGATATTAATAATGATAATGATAATAATAATAATGAATTAAGCAGCGTAGGAAGGTTTTTTTTAAATAAATAATAACTGAAAACGAATCGTTTTACTCACGTTTACTTAAACCGGTTTCGTAATTTAAAAAAAAAATAAACGATGGATTATTATTATTATTATTATTATTATTATTATCATTAAATAAATTAACGGTCCCTTAAAAAAAAAAAAATGTTTAAAAAGGGCGTTGCGGTGTAATAATAAAGACGTCAGCCGATTATATCATCATCATCATCATTAATCATGTTTTGATTTTATTACTATTTAAATAATAACGAAAAGTCTTTAAATTAGTAACAAAAAAAAAAAAAAAACTTTTACCAATTAATTGTCTTGTAATTCTTTTTAGGTGATAATAATAATAATAATAATAATAATACTGGAATTTATGTAACGTTTAAAAGCGTTTTTTTTACGTTTAAATGAGTAATTAATTAGGTACGAAAGGGAAATTCGGGGAGTCGAAATAATTTAAAGGTCGTTTCGATTGAACAGGTGTCGATGACCTTGTCGATGACCTTGATAAAAACCTTTTCCTCATAGTTTGATATAAATTTTCTTTTTTTTTGTAGCACCACTTTACGAAGAAGATGAAAACGGAGAGGAAAATACAAAAACTTCTGTTGCCGCTACTGCTGCTGCTGTAGCCGGTAAGTTTTAAACATTCGGATCAAATTGGATTCTAATTAAAAAGTAATAATTAACGCGAAGAATGAAACGTATAAATAATAATAATAATAACAACCGTATAAAAAAGTTTATTATAGTAAAAGCAGACGATTATTTAATTACGTAACCGGCAATTTTCTCAATAGCAAGGACGTTTTACTACGACCGTCAAAATGAAATCATTCATTGTTTGTTGTTGTAGTTGTAGTTCAATTTCAAGGTTTCACTTTTATCATTATCATTATTATTATTGTTTAAAATTTTTTTTTTTTTTTCGTCGTTGACATACATAAAATATTTTTATTATTTAATAATTTGATTTAATTTGTTTAAAAAAACTTTATAGTCGTAAGTTAAACATCTAAAAAATGTTTCGATGCATTTTTTTTCGGGGGGGGGGGGAAAGTGGAAAGGTTCTGTAAGGAAATTTATTATTATTAATATTTTTTTTTTTAGAATCTCGAGGCTGTTATTATAATTTTCAACATTACAATGAGGGGGAACGTATTATAACGAACGAACCATGTCTTAATTGTACCTGTAGAAATCGAATGTTTATGTGCTACCTAAGGGTGTGTCCATTTACAAAAGAAATTGGACAAAATTGCACAATTGAAAAAGTACCTGGTCAGTGTTGTCCAGTTATAACATGTCCTGAAGGTAAAAGTTTTATTTTTTATTTTTTTTTGGGGGGGTAGGGGGAAGGTTTTTAATATATTTTTTACCTTCCTTTTTTTTTTTTTAGTTCCTGTACATTTGTTGACAAGTTCAACAACTACCGAACATTCAAATTCGAATAAATTATCCGGCCCTCATTATCCAAATAGAAATACAGGAGTTAGCGATGTTGGTAAAAATGGATGTTTAATTGATGGTGCTTTTTATGCAAACGGTGCTCAGGTTCCAGGCTCACCGGAAAATCCATGCGAACTTTGTTATTGTATTAGAAATAAAACATCTTGCATAATGCAAGAATGCGCACTACAAGTTGACGGATGTAGGCCTGTTTACGAAGATGGACAGTGTTTTCCAGTTCGATATCAATGCGGTGAATATTTTTTTCCTTTTTTTTCAATAATAATTTTACGTTATAAACATTAAATTAATAATAATGATTAATAAATTTTTTTTTAAAACAGACGATTTACCTTACGAAGAAAAATCAACGACGACTATCAGACCCCCACCAACTCCAGGTTTAGTCATTACGACAACATCATCGGAACCTATGGAATGCTATCATAATAATGACGTGTACTCAGATGGATCAAGAATACAAACGAACAATCCCTGTGAACATTGTTATTGTCTCAAAGGAAAAATAGCATGTGCCGTTCAAGAATGTGGCGTTCCTTTAGAAAAAGATGGACAAAATTGTACGGCTTTACCTCCTTCTCCAGGAAAATGTTGTCCAGATTCCTATAAATGCGGTAAGTTTTTACCCCTCCTCCCCCTCCCTCGATATTATTAATTTTAATTAAAAGCATTGTACAAATGGCTAAAAAAATTTTATTCACAAAACTAATTTTGTAAATATCAAAAAAATACTAATTTAAATATAATAATAATAATAATAATAATAATATTCTAACAATTTTTATTTTTTTTTTTGTAAATATTTATATTTCAGATAATAATATCGTTTATAAACCTGTGGAGAACTATAATAGCGAAGATGAGAAACACAAATTGAAAAATAAAATTTTTGGGGAAAATGGTAATGGCAAATAAGTCGATAATATTTCTTGTTTATTACTATCGTAAAAAAAAAAAGAAAATTTTTTTTTATCATTTATAATACGTTTTAATAATAGTAATAGCTTTGTCTCTAACACGATAAAAAATTATTTATTTTCATTTTTTTCTTATTTTACTTTTATTTTTTTAAATACTAAATCGTTTTTGTAAATAATTTTTTATGCAAAAATTAAAAATTTGACTTGTCCGCGCACGAAAAAAATAAAATAAAATTTTTGTACGTATGTTAAAAATGTTTTTTTTTATTTTTCAGATGTAACCGGAAGTGTACAACCGGAATTTTCACAAACAACGGAAGGATTACACGACGACACGAAGAAAACGGAATTTTTAATTACCCATGGTCCTCCCCCTCAATATTTACCTACGGAAATCCATGATAATAATAATAAATATCCCCACCATGATGTTAAAGTCACAGATGGAATTCATCAAACATCAATAAATAAAGTTACCCCTAGTGAATTAACAACTGATAGTAATTTAAATGAACAAAAGTACAATGAAGGAACTCAATCACCGGAAAAATTTAATGATAATAATAATTATAACCCGCAAGAAACAAATAAAGTTTTCGGAAAACCTTTAGATCAATCAAATTTTGAAAATTCTGTACCTGTACAAAAAGGACATGAAAAAACACCAAGCTTAGATTTAAACCATCATACAACTTCGATTTATGATAATGATAATAATAATTTACATACCACCGAATCAATAAAAACTGATGATGGTATGCACGTAACTACAGACAATAATAATATGTTTAATAAATTGACCAGTATTATTCAAGGAATATACAATCAAGTGAGCAGTACGTTGTCACCAATGACGGAACAAGACAGCTTAAAAGATAAAGAACACTATTTTGTAGACAATGAACCAAATAAAAATTTATTAAATACTGCATCACATACCAAACCCGATAAAGAAGATGGAACTGAAATAACAAAACATTCAAATAAAAATAACTCAATTAACAACGGAAACATTCCTGAGAATCAAGATCATTACCCGGATAATAAGAATACGTATCATCATGACATTTTAGAAAATGAAAGTAAATACCCCAATAAAGAAAACACATACGAAGGTGGAAAACAACCAAATGACGGTCAAAATTATCACGAAAAAAATCCTACAGAAAGTGGTGATAAATTAACGAGTCATGATGAAGAATACTTTAATAAAAATAAACCAGAAAACAGTGATATGGGTCCGGAAGCTGACAAATCAGACAGTCTTACCAGGAAACCTGAAGAAAATACAAAATACCCTCACGACACATCACCCAATTACGATGATTCTCATCGCGGAACTGACTACATAGAAGGAACAACCGGTAGTCCAGTACACCATGCAAAATATCCTCAAAGTGGCAAACCGGAAAATGATGAAACGCATAAAGGAACTGATTACCCAGAAGGATTAACTGGAAGGCCAGTATTTGATTCAAACTATCCACAAGGAAGTAATCCGGAGCGCGATGAACCACATCGTGGAAACCATTACCCAGAAAACGTTACTGGAAGACCAGTTTATGACTCAAAGTACCCTCATGGTAGTTCAACAGATCACGGTGAACCACAACGTGGAACTGAGTATCCAGAAGGAGTTACTGGTAGACCAGTACATGACAAAGAACATCCTCATAGTAGTCCATTAGATCACAATGAACCACACCGTGGAACCGATTACACAGAAGAATTAACTGGAAGGCCAGTATTTGATTCAAAATATCCACAGAGTGGCAAACCAGAAGATGATGAAGCGCACCATGGAACAGATTATCCAGAGGGAGTCACCGGCAGACCAGTACACCATTCAAAATATCCACAGAGTGGCAAACCAGATGATGATGAACCGCACCATGGAACTGATTATCCAGAGGGAGTCACCGGCAGACCAGTACACCATTCAAAATATCCACAGAGTGGCAAACCAGAAGATGATGAAGCGCACCATGGAACAGATTACCCAGAGGAAGTCACCGGCAGACCAGTACACCATTCAAAATATCCACAGAGTGGCAAACCAGAAGATGATGAAGCGCACCATGGAACAGATTATCCAGAGGGAGTCACCGGCAGACCAGTACACCATTCAAAATATCCACAGAGTGGCAAACCAGAAGATGATGAAGCGCACCATGGAACAGATTACCCAGAGGGAGTCACCGGCAGACCAGTACACCATTCAAAATATCCACAGAGTGGCAAACCAGAAGATGATGAAGCGCACCATGGAACAGATTACCCAGAGGGAGTCACCGGCAGACCAGTACACAATTCAAAATATCCACAGAGTGGGAATACGGAAGATGATGAACCACACCATGGAACTGAGTATCCAGAAGGAGTCACCGGCAGACCAGTTCATCATTCAAAATATCCACAGAGTGGCAAACCAGATGATGATGAACCACATCGTGGAACAGATTACCCAGAAGGAGTCACCGGCAGACCAGTACACCATTCAAAATATCCACAGAGTGGCAAACCAGAAGATGATGAAGCGCACCATGGAACAGATTATCCAGAAGGAGTCACCGGCAGACCAGTACACCATTCAAAATATCCACAGAGTGGCAAACCAGAAGATGATGAAGCGCACCATGGAACAGATTATCCAGAAGGAGTCACCGGCAGACCAGTACACCATTCAAAATATCCACAGAGTGGCAAACCAGATGATGATGAACCGCACCATGGAACAGATTATCCAGAGGGAGTAACTGGAAAACCCATACATGACACAGATCATCCTCATGGTAGTTCACCAGGTCAAGATGAACTACATCGTGGAACAGATTATCCAGAAGGAGTCACCGGCAGACCTGTACACCATTCAAAATATCCAGAGAGTGGCAAACCAGATGATGATGAACCGCACCATGGAACTGATTATCCAGAGGGAGTCACCGGCAGACCAGTACACCATTCAAAATATCCACAGACTGGCAAACCAGAAGATGATGAAGCGCACCATGGAACAGATTACCCAGAGGAAGTCACCGGCAGACCAGTACACCATTCAAAATATCCACAGAGTGGCAAACCAGAAGATGATGAACCACATCGTGGAACAGATTACCCAGAAAGAGTCACCGGCAGACCAGTTCACCATCCAAAATATCCACAGAGTGGCAATACGGAAGATGATGAACCACACCATGGAACTGAGTATCCAGAAGGAGTTACTGGCAAACCAGTACATGATACAGAGCGTCCTCATGGTAGTCCATTAGATCACAATGAACCACACCGTGAAAATGAGTATCCAGAAGGAGTCACCGGCAGACCAGTTCATCATTCAAAATATCCACAGAGTGGCAAACCAGATGATGATGAACCGCACCGTGGAACAGATTATCCAGAGGGAGTCACCGGCAGACCAGTACACCATCCAAAATATCCACAGAGTGGCAAACCAGAAGATGATGAACCACATCGTGGAACAGATTACCCAGAAGGAGTCACCGGCAGACCAGTACACCATTCAAAATATCCACAGAGTGGCAAACCAGAAGATGATGAAGCGCACCATGGAACAGATTATCCAGAAGGAGTCACCGGCAGACCAGTACACCATTCAAAATATCCACAGAGTGGCAAACCAGAAGAAGATGAAGCGCACCATGGAACAGATTACCCAGAGGAAGTCACCGGCAGACCAGTACACCATTCAAAATATCCACAGAGTGGCAAACCAGAAGATGATGAACCACATCGTGGAACAGATTACCCAGAAGGAGTCACCGGCAGACCAGTTCACCATCCAAAATATCCACAGAGTGGCAATACGGAAGATGATGAACCACACCATGGAACTGAGTATCCAGAAGGAGTTACTGGCAAACCAGTACATGATACAGAGCGTCCTCATGGTAGTCCATTAGATCACAATGAACCACACCGTGAAACTGATTACCCAGAAGGATTAACTGGAAGACCTGTATTTGATTCTAAATATCCAGAGAGTGGCAAACCAGAAGATGATGAACCACACCATGAAACAGATTACCCAGAAGGAGTCACCGGCAGACCAGTTTATGACTCAAAGTACCCTCATGGAAGTACACCGGAACACGATGAGTTGTACCATAAAACAGATTACCCACAAAAGGTTACTGGAAGACCCATACATGACAAAGTACATCCTCATGGTAGTGCACTAGATCACGAGGAACCCCATCATGAATCTGAATATCCGGAAGAAATTACTGGAAAACCCAGTTATGATTCAAAGTACCCACAAGGAAGTACTCCGGAGCAGGATGAATCGCAACGAGTTACAGAATATCCAGAAGGATTAACTGGCAGACCAATATTTGATTCAAAATATCCTCACGGTAGTTCACCAGGTCATGATGAACCACATCGTGGATCTGAGAATCCGGAAGGAGTTACTGGCACACCAGTACATGACACAGAACATCCTCATGGTAGTCCATTAGATGACAATGAACCACACCGTGGAACCGATTACGCAGAAGGATTAACTGGAAGACCAGTATTTGATTCAAAATATCCACAAGGAAGTACACCCGATGATAGTGAACCACACCGTGAAACTGAGTATCCGGAAGGAGTTACTGAAAGGCCAGTATTTGATTCAAAATATCCACATGGAAGTACACCTGAACACGATGAACCACACCATGGAACCGAGTATCCACAAGGAAGTACTTCGGAACACGATGAATCCCAGTATGGTACAGATTATCCAGAAGGAGTCACTGGTAGACCAGTACATGACACAGAGCATCCTCATGGTAGTCCATTAGGTCACAAAGAACCAAACCGTGGAACTGAGTATCCGGAAGGAGTTACTGGTAGACCAGTGCATGACACAGAGCATCCTCATGGTAGTCCATTAGATCACGATGAACCACATCGTGGAACTGAATATCCAGAAGGAGTTACTGGAAGGCCAGTATTTGATTCAAAATATCCACAAGGAAGTACACCAGATGATAGTGAACCACACCGTGTAACTGAGTATTCAGAAGGAGTTACTGGTAGACCAGTACATGACACCGAACATCCTCATGGTAGCGCGCCAGATCACAATGAACCAAACCGTGGAACTGAGTATTCAGAAGGAGTTGCTGGAAGACCAACACATGACAAAGAACATCCTCATGGTAGTACATTAGATCACGATGAACCACACCGTGGCACTGAGAATCCGGAAGGAGTTGCTGGAAGACCAACACATGACAAAGAACATCCTCATGGTAGTCCATTAGATCACAATGAACCACATCGTGGAACTAAGTATCCAGAAGGATTAACTGGAAGACCAGTATTTGATTCAAAATATCCACAGAGTGGCAAACCAGAAGATGATGAACCGCACCATGGAACAGATTATCCAGAAGGATTGACTGGAAGACCGGTATTTGATTCAAAGTATCCACAAGGAAGTACTTCAGAACACGATGAACCCCAGTATGGAACACATTACCCAGAAGCAGTCACTGGCAGACCAGCACATGACACAGAGCATCCTCACGGTAGTCCATTAGATCACGATGAATCTCATCGTGGAACTGAGTATCCAGAAGGAGTCACTGGCAGACCAGTACATGACACAGAGCATCCTCACGGTAGTCCATTAGATCACGATGAATTTCATCGTGGAACTGAGTATCCAGAAGGAGTCACTGGCAGACCAGTACATGACACAGAGCATCCTCACGGTAGTCCATTAGATCACGATGAATCTCATCGTGGAACTGAGTATCCAGAAGGAGTTACTGGAAAACCAACATATGACAAAGAACATCCTCATGGTAGCCCATTAGATCATGATGAACCACATCGTGGAACAGACTACCCAGAAGTAATTAGTGGAAGGCCAGTACACCATTCAAAATATCCACTGAGTGGCAAACCGGAAGATGATGAAACTCACCCTGGAACGGAGTACCCCGAAGGATTAACTGGAAGACCTGTTTATGATTCGAAGTATCCTCATGGAAGTACACCGGAACATGATGATTTGCACCCTGGAACTGAAAATCCACAAGACTCCAGCGGAAGGCCCATGTTTGATTCAAAATATCCACTTGGTATAAAACCACATTATGATAAGCCTCAGGAAGAAACTTTTGCACCAGAGAAGGATGATAATAATTTTGGTTCACCTCATTCAACTAGTAGTTCTGTATTAGTTACTGATATGACTAATAATAAAACCTACGGTGAAAATGATTTTTATCATACATCAGAATTGCTGAATGGGATCACTCAAAAACCCCAAAATTTAATTAAAGACGATAATTTTGATACTAATAAAGAAATCACCACAGATAAACTAAAAGAAAACAACGTTAAAAATTACGAAAATAAACCTAATTTCGTAGGTAATGACCCAACAAAAATGCCCGTAGAAAACGGCGACTTTAAAAACGTCGAAAGAACCACTGTGAAATATGTAAATAGTGAGTCAGGTACTAAATACCCGGAAAGCAATTCGGATACACTACCGGAAAACGAATATCATCCTCTCGAAAACAAACCACAAGAAAATACCCCATCTGACGTGAAAAAACCTCATGACGGAAGTGAAGATCTAAAAGGCTCAAATGATAAAACAGTGTCTGATTCAAAACATCCTCATGAAAGTACACCTGAACACGATAATAAGCATCAAGGAATTCAGTATCCAGAAGACGTTACTGGAAGACCAGTACACGAAACAAAACATCCTCAAAGTACCGCACAAGATCACAGTGAACCACAACGTGGAAATGAGTACTTGGAAGGAGTTACTGGAAAACCCGTACATGACACAGAACATCCTCATGGTAGTCCATTAGATCACGATGAACCACATCCTGGAACTGAGTATCCAGAAGAAGTTACTGGAAGACCAGTAATTGATTCAAAATACCCACATGGTAGTTCACCAGGTCATGATGAACCACATCGTGGATCCGACTACCCAGAGGGAGTAACTGGAAAACCAACACATGACGCAGAACAACCTCACGGTAGTTCACCTGGTCAAGATGAACCACACCGTGGAACCGATTACCCAGAAGGATTAACTGAAAGACCAGTATTTGATTCAAAGTATCCACATGGAAGTACATCCGAACACGATGAACCACACAGTCAAACTGAATACCCGGAAGGATTAACTGGAAGACCAGTATTTGATTCAAAGTATCCACATGGAAGTACATCCGAACACGATGACCCACACCGTGGTACTGAGTATCCGGAAGGAGTTACTGGTAGACCAACACATGACAAAGAACATCCTTTTAGTAACGCACCAGGTCAAGATGAACTACATGGAACAAATTATCCAGAAGGAGTCACCGGGAGACCAACACATGACAAAGAACATCCTCATGGTAGTCCATTAGATCACAATGAACCACACCGTGGAACTGATTACCTAGAAGGATTAACTGGAAGACCAGTATTTGATTCAAAATATCCACAGAGTGGCGAACCAGAAGATGATGAACTGCACCATGGAACAGATTATCCAGAAGGAGTTACTGGCAGACCGGTATTTGATTCAAAGTATCCTCAAGGAAGTAGTCCGGAGCACGATGAACCACACCGTGGGACTGAGAATCCGGAAGGAGTTAGTGGAAGACCAGTACTTGATTCAAAGTATCCACAAGGAAGTACACCAGATGATAGTGAACCACACCGTGGAACAGTTTACCCAGAAGGAATCACCGGTAGACCAGTACACGATTCAAAACATCCTCTGGGAAGTACACCGGAAGATGATGAACCACACCGTGGAACAGATTATCCAGAAGAAGTTACTGGTAGTCCGGTATTTGATTCAAAGTATCCTCAAGGAAGTAGTCCGGAGCACGATGAACCACATCGTGGATCCGATTACCCAGAGGGAGTAACTGGAAAACCAACACATGACAAAGAATATCCTCATGGTAGTTCACCAGGTCAAGATGAACTACATAATGGAACAGATTATCCAGAAGAAGTCACCGGGAGACCAGTATATGACACAGAACATCTTCATGGAAGTACACCGGAACACGATGAACCACACCGTGTAACCGAGTATCCAGAAGGAATAACTGGAAGACCAGTATTGGATTCAAAACATCCTCATGGCAATTTACCAGGTCAAGATGAGCCACACCGTGGAACTGAATATCCTGAAGGAACTACTGGAAGACCAGAATTTGATTTAAAGTATCCTCATGGAAGTACACCGGAAGATGCTGAGTCGCACCGTGGAACAGATTATCCAGAAAGTTTTACTGGAAGACCAGTACATGACACAGAACATCCTCATGGTAGTCCATTAGATCACGATGAACCACATGGTGGAACTGAGTATCCGGAAGGAGTTAGTGGAAGACCAACACATGACAAAGAAAATTCTCATGGTAGTCCATTAGATCACGATGAACCACATCGTGGATCTGAGTATCCGGAAGGAGTTAGTGGAAGACCAGTACTTGATTCAAAGTATCCACAAGGAAGTACACCAGATAATAGTGAACCACACCGTGGAACAGTTTACCCTGAAGGAATCACCGGTAGACCAGTGCACGATTCAAAACATCCTCTGGGAAGTACACCGGAAGATGATGAACCACACCGTGGAACTGAGTATCCAGAAGGAGTTAGTGGAAGACCAACACATGACAAAGAAAATCCTCATGGTAGTCCATTAGATCACGATGAACCACATCGTGGATCTGAGTATCCGGAAGGAGTTAGTGGAAGACCAGTACTTGATTCAAAGTATCCACAAGGAAGTACACCAGATAATAGTGAACCACACCGTGGAACAGTTTACCCTGAAGGAATCACCGGTAGACCAGTGCACGATTCAAAACATCCTCTGGGAAGTACACCGGAAGATGATGAACCACACCGTGGAACTGAGTATCCAGAAAGAGTTACTGGAAGACCAACACATGACAAAGAAAATCCTCATGGTAGTCCATTAGATCACGATGAACCACATCGTGGAACAGATTACCCAGAAGGAGTCACCGGCAGACCAGTTCACCATCCAAAATATCCACAGAGTGGCAATACGGAAGATGATGAACCACACCATGGAACTGAGTATCCAGAAGGAGTTACTGGCAAACCAGTACATGATACAGAGCGTCCTCATGGTAGTCCATTAGATCACAATGAACCACACCGTGAAACTGATTACCCAGAAGGATTAACTGGAAGACCTGTATTTGATTCTAAATATCCAGAGAGTGGCAAACCAGAAGATGATGAACCACACCATGAAACAGATTACCCAGAAGGAGTTACTGGTAGACCAGTTCATGACACCGAGCATCCGCATGGTAGTCCATTAGATCACAATGAACCACACCATGGAACTGAGTATCCAGAAGGAATAACTGGAAGACCAATATTTGATTCAAAGTATCCACAAGGAAGTACTTCAGAACACGATGAACCCCAGTATGGAACACATTACCCAGAAGGAGTCACTGGCAGACCAGTACATGACACAGAGCATCTTCATGGTAGTACACCTGAACACGATGAACCACACCATGGAACCGAGTATCCAGAAGGAATAACTGGAAGGCCAGTATTTGATTCAAAATATCCACAAGGAAGTACACCAGATGATAGTGAACCACACCGTGAAACTGAGTATTCAGAAGGAGTTACTGGTAGACCAGTTCATGACACCGAACATCCTCATGGCAGTCCATTAGGTCACGATGAACCACATCGTGGAACAGAATATCCAGATGTAGTCACTGGAAAACCAATGCTTGATACGAAATACCCTGACGGTATAGTTCAAAATACTGATGAACCTCATTACGGAACTGCTTATCCTGAGGGCTCTACCGACAAGCCTAAGGACGATACAGTATATTCACAAACTGCTATGCCAGAAGATGATGAACATATTCACGGAACTGATTATTCGGAAGGCGTCACTGGTATTGTAGGTTTAGTGTCTTCTTCTAAACCCCAGTTTGATACAAATGAACCTGATCACGTAACGCTTTTACCAGCTGATTTAATAAGGGATCCGTCTGGAGATGATTTGAGTAATTTTAATAATCAGAATAACGACAATGTAAATAAGAGTCCAGACCTTCAAAATTCTAATTTTAACGTAATTACGGATCACAAAAATTTTTCAACCGTTGGTGGTGATGATTTGATTAATAAATTGCATAATATCATTCACGATATTCAAAAGGAAGGGTTGACTACATCCGAAGCAACTATAACGGTAGATAATGATCATACTAACATCGTTTTCCCAAGCGGTGAGCATGATTCCGTTTTTTCAACCACCAAACCAAATAAGTTAAATCCTTCATTAAGTACTGAAGAAAAAGTATCAACTACTAATCCATTAAGTGAACATAATTTCGAATCAACGGTTAATCCCTTTGATTTAGACCACGGTGTTTCTACAGAAAAACCACTTCATGTTGTTTATCCTACATATTATCCAAATGGAGTTGTAACGAAGAGTCCCGTAAATGCATTTGAAGATAAGAATAAAATAACCGTCACCCCACAAACTATCGATTCTCTAATAAAAGGATCCACCAATAAAGTAAATGAAATTAACACTGAGGTTCCAAGTTATACTAAACATGATATTACAGAGTCTGGAAATGAAGTTTCTACCTCAAGTCCCGTCGTTATTGTGCAAGAAGTTCATACAGAAATTCATAGCGAAAGAGCTACTGTTAAACCAAATGATGTTCAGTTCACAAATGAAAAAGAAAAACCGTATGACAGTACAGAATTCCCGAACAAATTTAACACTGATTCTGGAAGCGAAAGGCTGACACAAAGACCATATTATACTGAAAAACCAGATAATACACATTTCGGATATACCGATAGCAGCGTAGTGGATCTCGATGGTAAACAAACAACGGTTAAAACATTTTTAGATAATAAAACAACGCATAAATTTGATCAATCGGATGTACAAGAAGAACACACAACATTAAGTTATTTACAAGACAAATATGGTGGCAGCACTACAGAACGTAGAAAACCAGGCGATGAAAATTTAACAGATGATTCGTATTCATTTACAACGATCGGACATCATCCTGGAGCAGATTTACCGCATACTAGTACCGTTTTAACACCAATATCATTTTCTGAAAAAGAAACAAGCAAACCAGAAAACGTTGATTCACAAGATGAAACGTTCGAAGTAAAATTTCCTTTGAGAAAAACTACTTTTAATCCTTTAAATGTTGAAAAAAATACTCTTAAACCGGATCAATTTGATAAATTTAATCCCACCGAAGGAACTGAAAAAGTTTTTGATCACGCAACCGCTAGACCATACGATGAAGAACTTGTTACTCAAGGAGTACTAGACAATAAAAGCCCGGAATACTCTTTTATCGGCACTACAACGCCCAAATACCTTTTAGTTGATGACGTAACCGAAGATCATTCTACTCCAAATAAATTTTCTTATGTGCCTTATAAATTAATTAACGGTAGTAAAATATATTATCCTGAAAAGGAACAACCTGAAAAACCATCAGATTCAGAGGTTACGGACTCACCTTTCGACGGATATGACAGCGTACCATACACGGTCGAAAACGGATCGAAAGTTTTTCATCCAGAACAAGTCGGAGTCAGTCATCGTCCGACTACGCCATCACATTCTTTGGGCATGTACGTTCCCTATAAAATAATTAATAATAAGAAAGTGTATTACACGGATGACAAACCAGGTACAGATGGTTTTGACGGATTGGATTATTTACCATTTGAAATTGTCGATGGTAAAAAAGTTTTCCATCCCGAATGGATTCCGTCAACTTCAACTAGTACCACAGTTTCGCCAACCGTTCTTTCGGAAACTTACGTTCCTTTTAAATTAGTTAACGGAACTAAAGTTTTCTATCCGAAAGATGCTCAAAACGATCCTCAAAATGTTCCAAAGGATTACGATGGATTTGAATTAATGCCTTTTGAAATTGTTAACGGAAATAGAGTTTTCCATCCGGATAAAATATCAACGACTCCTTCGACTCCGCAAAATGCTTTGTTTGTACCGTACAAATTAGTTAACGGAGCTAAAGTTTATTACACGAAGGATGCATTTGAAGAACCTAAAGATAAACCAGAAAATTACGATGGTTTCGATTATGTTCCTTATAAAGTCGTTAATGGAAACAAGGTATTTGAACCAGAGAAGGCTGTTTTTAAACCGGTAACTCCTTCTATGTACGTGCCTTATAAAATTGTAAACGGAGCTAAAATATTTTATCCAAAAGATGCTCAATCAAGTCCGAATAATTCATTCAAAGATTACGATGGTTTCGATCTCGTACCATTCCAAGTTATAAATGGAAATAAATTTTTCTATCCGGGAGATCATGAACAAGTTACGGATAAACCTCATCCTCAAGGAATGTTTGTTCCTTATAAAGTCATCAACGGAAGAAAAGTTTATCATTTGAAACATGCTCAAAATAAACCTATTGAAATGTTAAAAGACTACGAAGGCTTCGATTTTATTCCATACGATGTTATTAACGGTACCAGAGTGTTTTATCCGGAACGTGTAACACCACAACCTACGGATGATCAAACTCCTTTCAGAGTAACGGAGACTCCGAGTATTAATTTTTCGCAAAATCCATTACTAACTAGTGATGATTACGTATTTAATTATCAAGAAAAAGACGTGACAACAGAATCACCAACAACATCTTCAACACCGAATCTCGGTGCTTTATACGTTCCGTACAATATGGTTAATGGAACTAAAGTATTTTACGTCAACGATGGTCAAAGTCGACCGCAATTAATACCTCCTAGTTACGATGGATTTGATTACGTTCCATATGAATTAGTTAACGGAACCAGAGTTTTCCATCCGGAAAAAATTTCTCCTCATACTAAACCGGCCTTATTCGTGCCATACAAAGTATTGAACGGAAGCAAAGTTTACTATCCAGAAAATGCAAGTCAGAAAATGCCTCAGGTAACGCCTGAATACGATGGATTTGACTATGTGCCGTATGAAACAGTGAATGGAACAAAAGTATTTTATCCGAATCTAATTAAAACTCCGGATGACAATCCGCTAGATTCTTCATTTATGTATGTACCTTTTAAACTAGTCAACGGAAATAAGGTTTATAATCCGGAAGATGCTAAATACGATTCACAGTTTATTCCTCAAGGATACGATGGCTTTGATTACGTTCCGTACGAGGTAGAAAACGGTACAAAAATTTTCCACCCGGAAAAAATGCAATCGAAATATCCGAATTATACTCAAGGATTATACGTACCCTATAAAATAATTAACGGTACAAAAATGTATTATCCAAAAGAAGCTCAAAGTAGACCCCATCCTCTTTCTGATGATTACAATGGATTAGATTATTTACCTTATGAAATTGTCAACGGAACTAAAGTATTCCATCCGGAAAAAGCCGTTTTTAAACCGCCTACTTCATCCATGTATGTTCCATTTAAAATTATGAATGGAACCAAAGTCTACTATCCGAAGCACGCTCAACAAAATCCTCAGCAAATACCACATGGATACGATGGATTTGACATGATTCCATACGAAGTTGTGAACGGTCAAAAAATATTCCATCCGGAACACGCTTTGAAACCCACGAAAACTCCCACAACCGCTTTGCCAACTTTTTACGTACCGTTTAAAATTGCGAACGGAACAAAAGTATTTTATCCAAAGGATGCACAAGAATACCCACAAAGCATACCCCAAGGTTACGATGGATATGAGCCTGTTCCTTACGAATTGGTTGGAGGAAAGAAAGTATTCAAACCTGAGCTGATGTCGGAAACACTTACCACACCTCCTTCTTTTGTTCAGGCTTTGTATGTTCCATACAAAGTAATAAATCAAACTAAAGTTTATTATCCTAAACACGCTCAACAAAATGTAAAAGACGTACCGCAAGGTTACGAAGGATTTGACCATATTCCTTATGAAATAGTTGACGGTAAAAAAGTGTTCCATCCTGAACAGGCGATACCTACAACTACGAAACAGCCATTGTACACGCAAGCGTTATATGTACCGTACAAGAATGTTAATGGCACAAAAGTATTTTATCCAAAAGATGCTGCTGAGCAGCCTAATTATCAATCACAAGAATATGATGGCTTTGAATATATTCCATACGAAGTAGTAAATAATAAAAAAGTATTTCATCCAGAACAAGCGTTCACAACAATGACTACTCCTAATCCGTTCGAATTAGCTTTGTACGTACCGTATAAAATTGTAGATGGAACTAAGGTTTACTATCCGAAATATGCCAAGGAAGAACCTCAAGTTTTTGAAAATTTCGACGGATCCGATTACGTTCCTTATAAAATTGTTGACGGTAAAAAAGTATTCCGTCCAGAATTTGCTGTACCAGCAGCAACTACTCAACCTACATTATTAGCTCAGTATGTGCCATATAAAATTATTAATGGAACAAAAGTATTTTATCCGAAAGATGCTCAATCAGAAACATATCTCATACCTAAAGGATACGACGGATTCGAATACATTCCTTACGAATTAGTAAATGGTAAAAAAGTTTTCAAACCGGAGCAAGCGATCAAGCATAGCGCAACCACACCATCTCCAGTTTCATTGGCCATGTACGTACCGTATAAACTTGTGGGAGGAAGGAAAGTATATTATCCCAAAAATGCCGTAGCTCAAAGGAATCAATTGCCAAAGGGATACGATGGTTTTGACTACGTACCCTATAATTTAGTTAACGGAAATAAGGTTTTCAATTTTGAAGAAGCAAACAAACCAGTTCCAACTAGTTTACCTTTAAATCAATATTTATACGTTCCGTATAAGGTGGTAAACGGTAAAAAAGTTCTTCATACGAATGATGCCAAAGAATATCCACAAGATATACCGAACAACTACAACGGCTTTGATTATATTCCGTATAAAATGCAAGATGGGAAAAAAGTATTTTATCCAGAATTGTCAACTGATCCACCAACAAGTGTAGTTCCTCGCTTAGATGGAATTTTTGTTCCTTTCAAATTATTAAACGGCACAAAAGTATTTTATCCCGTCGATGCTCATGAACACGGTTCATCAGTACCAAACGGTTACGATGGCTCCGATTACGTACCTTTCGAAACTAACAACGGTGTGAAAACGTTTTATCCAGAGCTTATTTCAGTGCCTCACTACGATGCTCCAGGTGTATACGTTCCATTTAAAATATTCAACGATAAAAAATTATTTATACCAGAAGCCGCTAGTGTGAACCTTCCGACGAACAACGTTCAGGCTCCTTACAATGGAATAGCTTACATGCCATATAAGAATAAAAAAGGACAGGTTCAATTAAAGAGACCGAACTTATCGAAAAGGAACAGTGAAGTAATTTACGTGGATGATTTTGTTGAGAACTTGAAATCGCAAGGACACCCACAAGGTTTTGCTGGTGTACCTGGTGAAGGAAGTTGTCTTTTCAACGATAGAACCTATTCAAACAATGAAACCATTCCACCTTTCAGTTCTTGTCAAGTTAAATGTAAATGTATCGGTTCTATTGTCCAATGTGTTAGAGTAAGATGTCCATCGTTACAAGAAAATCAACCCAATTGCGTACAGATCTATCGGGAAGGTTCATGTTGCTCTACTTTTGAATGTGGTGAGTCTTTTTTTTTTTTTCGTTTTGAAAACGTAATAAAATGTTATTGGGTTACATTTCTAACGCGTATTTTTTTCCCACAGCAAATTCTGATGTGTTCTCAAACACCAACATCAAGGGCCCGTCAGAACCTTCTGATTATACAAACCCGTTCATACCAAATCGCAAAAAAATCCCAAATAAAAATGATGGATCAGGTAATTAAATATAATTATAGACGTGGTTTTAGTCAAAAAAAATTTTTAAAAACGTATAATAAATAAAATTTTATGTCCTTAGTAGGAAGTCAAGTAAAACCGCAAACATCAGAACCTTCTGAAATTCACGTTCAGAAACCTCATCATCCAAGACCGGATTCACAAGAACCTTTTGATCATGTTGAGGGAGTAGTTTCTAGTGAACTTTTACCCGAAGACGATTATGACGGAGACGATGAAGAACCATACGGTCCTGGAACATGTCGCTATGCTGGAAAAGTTTACGTGTCCGCTCAGCAAATTCCGAGAGACGATCCCTGTGATTTCTGCTTCTGCTTTAGAAGTGACATTATTTGTCTTCAGCAAAGCTGTCCACCTCCTATTCCGGGCTGTCGCGATGAACCAATACAAGGTTTCTGTTGTCCGAGATACGAATGCCACGTTAAAATGGCTACCGTTTTAAACGTGACATCTACAACAACAACAACCACAACCACATTGCCTCCTCATTTCTTTTCTCACGCTTATAAAGGATCAGCCGTTCGTACAGGATGTTTTGTACAAGGAAAAGCTTACAGAGTTGGAGAAGCTATTCCTTCTGCATCGGGTCCCTGCATGGATTGCAAGTAAGTAACCCACAAATTTTATTCGATAGGAATAAAAAAAAAAAAATTCTTTTATGTACGAAAACTAAACTTTTTTTTCTTTAATTCTTTAGCTGCGGCGGAAACGGAAGAATGAAATGCGAACCTAAAGTTTGTACTCCAGAGCCTATGATTCGAAAAATGATAGTACCCTCTAATAATACGTCGCCCTCGTTGTCGTTATCATCATCATCATTATCATCATCATATTCTCATAATAAAAGATGAAATCAACCGTCACATTAAAAGTGTTTAAATTGAAAAAAAAATGAACAAATACTCAACAAAAGTGATTTTATATTATTAAAAAAAAATTTAAATTAAGACTTTTTATAAAAAAAAAAAAAAAGTGTAAGAAGAAAAAAAAAAAAAAAAAAACGAAATGGGGGGACAGGGGCTAAACAACCGTCGTTTTTTTACAAAAAAAAAGGGATTTTCGAAATGTTTTTTTTAAAGAAAAAAGTGCCTTTTTTGCCTCAATTTTTAATTTAATTAACATCACGTGTTGTTTTGCCCTTTAACCCTTTGAATGCCATATAGACTGTGTCGAACGAATGATTGTTATTAAATATTTTTCTCATCACTCTAAAAAAAAAACCCCTTTAGTACTCTATTCGATTATTTAGATATTTAAAATTATTATTATTATTATTACTATTAAAAGCATATGAACTACTACACGCGTATGCTCTGACTGAAATCTTAAAAACAAATTTTTTTTATATAAAACTGTTAAAATTTTACTCTCTCTCTCTCTCTCTCTCTCTCTCTCTCTCTCTCTCTCTCTCTCTCTCTCTCTCGAGTTCTTGTTCTTAAATTCAATTTATTTTTCATAAGGACGGACTCGTTCCCACTGAATACGACGATCAAAAATTCATTTTTATATCTATATTGAGTGTGAATGTGCGAGCGCGTATGGAAACGTGTAAATTATTATTATTATTATATTAATACCGTACGGAAAACTCAAAGTGGTTTACATATATATATATATAAAGGGAGGCCATTTTCTACAACTCATTAAATTTAGACAAAATGGTTTTTATAAACAAAAAAAATTACAACAACTCAATTTTTATTTCGTAGGAGGGTTGTTTGTTGTTGTTGTCTTCCTTTCGTCTTCTAATTTTTTTTTAATTTGTGCTCAAATTTAATTACGTAACTATTATTATTATTATTATCATTATTAATTTTTTTCTAGGCAATATTAGAGTATCCCCACATAAATTTTCTAGTCTTTTTTATTGCGATTTTTTAATCAAAGCACATTAATCACAATTTTTTTTTTCTAATTATTTCTCCGCTTTTAAATTTATTATTATTATTATTATTACTATTTATATATATATTTATGTTTTATGTTTTAATGTTCTGAAATGTTCGATTAACAGAAATGCAATACGAATTAATTTAATTAATTTTTTAATGTTTTCATTTTAAAAAAAAAAAAATATTTATATGTTTTTTAAATATTTATTCTCTCTCTCTCTCTCTTTTTTTTAAGTATTTAAACGGTTGTATTTTTGTTTTTTGAACCCCGGACATTTAATTATGACCGATTTGAGTTTTTTAAATTTAAAAAAAAAAAAAAAAAAAAAAAAAACAAAAAACAAAAACAAAAAAAAAAGTTTTTTTTTATTTTTATGTACGTTAGTTTTTTTTTTTTTTAATAATTTTTTTCAGCAAAATATACTTTAATTGTATGGCTGTATATATAAATATTATATGTTTTTTTTTTCATTAAAATATTTTTTAATTGAATTATTTATTGTTGTTGTTTTTTTTTATTAGAGTTAATCCTTTAATATTTTCTTAATCCATTTAATCCATTTTGTGTTTTTCCCTCTCCTCGCGGTTTAATAAATTTAAAAAATAATAATAATAAAAACCTGGTTTTTGATGATGACCTGTTCATCGACAAATAGTTGGTACATGTTTGTCTTGAGTTTTGTACATAACTGATACTCTTCGACCCTTCTTTAACATCCAGTATCAACATTTCAACGAACTGTTGTGTGTGTGAGCGTGAGAAACCTAAACATGGGGAGCCAAAGCGAACATTTCCGCCACATTTCGCTTTTTTATTTTCGAAAGGGTCTTAGTACTACACAAGGTCATAAAAAGTTGTGGGCCAAGTATGGTGATGAAGCCTTAATAAAGCGGCAGTGTCAGTACTCGTTGGCGAAATTCCGTTCTAGAGAGTTTCCTTTAAAAGATGAGGAGCGCTCTGGGCATTCAGTGGAGATCTATAATGACCAAAAAGATTAATAATAATAGTTCGACAAGTGACATTGCAGAGAAGCTAGATATGTCACAAACGCGCGTCCAAAACCGTCTGCGGCATCTTGGGTATCAAAAGAAGGTTGACGCATAACAAGGAATCTCAAAAAGAAGAAATTGATTTCAAAAATTTACAAAAAAAAAAAATTAATATTTATATTAAATGTCAATTTATAAAAATTTTTTATTAAACAATACAAAAAAGGCACGATTATTAAAAAAAAAAGAGGCACAGGTATAACGAACACAGTTAAAACTGTCTTGCCACATAATTAACCCCCCCGCGAAATAGATCTTTTTTTACGTCATCATTCGAGTTATTATTGTTCCATAATTGCCAACAGGCATTTTTTATAATCGCCCGAAGTGTCACCCTAAAAAAAAAAAAAACCGAACCTTATACTTATGAATACCTTAAAAATTTTGTCATCGGAATGTACTTTAAATAAATACCTTGACGAAAGATTCCAAACTTTTACCGTATTTATTATTAAATGCAATTTTAATGTCACCCAAATCAATTTCACTTCTTGTTACAATTAACCTGATTAAATCTCTGTCTCTCGTACCGAATCCTACCATACTTTTATGCAAACAATCTGCTAAAAATTCCGTTTTGTTTCTAACGCATTTAACTGTGAAACAAATAATAATAATAATAATAATGACGAATGTAACGAAAACATTAATATTTATAAATTTAAAAAAATCAAAATATGAATAAAAGATTTTTTTGTTTTACCCAAAGCCATGAGACCATCTTCTATGTCGCCTGAAAATTCATTTTTGATGGCTTTTTCAAATGCGTGACTCGTTATTTGTTCGTATTCTTCGAATATGGCTTTAAGTTGTGCAAAACTTCTCGACACTAATATTGCATTGAATGTTGATTCATCTGTTCCGAATTTTAACTCCCCTGAAAAATACGTGAGCGAACGATGTTGAATCGAAATGCCGTCAATCAAACCCTCGGTTAATGCAAAACCTACCAGCAGCAAGAAGTGCTCGGGCGTCTTCCATTGCGCTTTGCCTGTCGACATGTACGGATTCGTCTCTCCCACTTTGACACAGGGAAATTAACAACCTTTTGAAATGCCCAGACGTGTCTGATGCCAAATCATTTTCAAGACTGTTGCCAAAAACTGAAAATACGCGACGGAGTGAGTGAGCGTTTGTGTGTGTGTGTGTCTGCCTTTACTTAATTTTGTTTTCATCTATGAATATAATAAAACTTACGGTGTTGATAAGCTGATTTAACAATTAAAATTTCGGAATTGTTCAACGTGCAAAGAATTTCAATTAGTGTACTTTCTGTTGTTCCAACACCGGCAACAGCGTGATTAAGTTCTTTTGCATAAAATTCCGGCAAGGGAGTCATGAGAGCGACTAAAAGTTCACGGAAATTTCCACTTGTTTCGCTCCTTAAATCTTTTATCAAATCCTATCGACATATTTAAAAAATACCCAATAATACTTTTTTACCATCTATTTAAAAAATTTTTCCTTTTTATATATTTTCCCCATTGACTTACCTTTCCGTATAACGTTTTGAATTGAAGTGCAATTTCTTGTCTCTGTGCATTTGTTCTGTTTGCTAAAATTGATATGATTGTGGCTTCATCGGTGCCAAAACCTTTCATTGCTTTCCTTAAAATTTCAGCATCTTGTCTCGCGTAAAATGGTGAAGCCGGAGTGATTGTAGGATTTGTCTGCAATAAAATTTTATTATTATTAACGGAAAAATCAATCATTCGATGATTGATTGAAAAAAAAAAAAAGAAAGAATTTTTACAAACGCGTTAATAAATAGCGGTAGCCTTGATTAAAATGAAATCAAATAAATTTAGAATAAAAAATAAAGGAAAAGGAAAAATAAGAAAAAAAAGAAAATTTATTAATAATATAAATTAAAATTAATGCATTTAATTAATTAATTTCCATGCACTCACCTTTTTTATATTTTCTCCTTTCTGTTGAAAACTAGGCGATTGTATTATATTTTGCTGAGGCACAGGAAGCGGACAGTTTAAAGAAGAAGAAACTTGTGAAGAAATAGAAAGAGACGGATAAATGTTTGGATTTGCGTTATTATTCGATGAATGTGGGTATGGAGCCCCCAAATGAGTGGGATATGGAACCGAAGAATTCGTTGGATATGAACCTGCTGAATTAGTAGGGTACGGAGCCCCCGAATGAGGGGGATACGGAACTGAAGAGTTCGTTGGATATGAACCTGCTGAATTAGTAGGATAAGGAGCTGCCGACTGAGTGGGATACGGAACAGACGCATTCACAGGATACGGAGCACTTGAATGAGTAGGATATGGAGCTGACGAATTAGTAGGGTATGGCGGGTTAGATGAATATAGTGAAGGGTAAGCGCTCGGATTTATTGGGTATGGAAGAGAACCATTACTTGGATAGGAAAGTGCGGATGATGGAGGATAAGATGGGTTTATTTGTTGATTAAAAGGAGAGTAATAGTTAGTATTAGCAGATGAAGGAGGAGGAGGAGGTGCAGAAGGATAACTCAAACTGGGTGGATAAGGATGATTTCCATGTCCCTAAAATAAAAAAAAAAAAACTTACCCCTGAATTGCTTTATATACAAAAAAAAAAAATATTGCAAATTCACACATGATTATTAAATAAAGTATTTACAGTTAGTAAGAAAAACCCGAAACACAATAATAATGATAATAATAATTTACTTACAGGTACAAATGGATTGTGACTCATTTTTATGTGTCAAATATGCTGATTCTGTAAAAAAAAAAAAAAAAATACAATTAGCCTGAGAGATGGCATAAAAGGTAAAAATTAATTAATTTTATAATACTATTTTTCTCTCAATTGAAATGATTGTGTGTTCATGCATTAAATTAAATTTTCTTTTAGATAAAAACTTTTTACATGTTGTCTTATATTATCTTACATAATAAATCTAATCACAGTAAAAAAAAAAAAAACTATTAAGAAAAAACTTTGGTAACTTTTTGTACACAGTAAGAATACTAATGTATATATACTAAAGATACAAAAATATATTCACATTAAATAATTAATATTACCGCACTTTAATAACATGAATTTAAAAAACAAACAACAAACTTTTTTTTGTTTAAGTGTAATATTTAAAAAGAAAACCTTCACTTTACCTTTCCTATCAATTATCTGTATTCAAAAATCAAAATTATGTAAGCATTAACAAAAAAATAATTAAAAGCATCAAGTATGTTTTTTTTTAAAATAAATCTTCCTGTAAAAGTATTTTAAAATATATATTTGTGTGTGTGTGTGCGTGTGTGATTAGTTACGACATCGAATGAAATAAATAAATAAATAAATAAATAATGGTTAAAAAAAAAAAAAACTGACACACTTACTTAAACAACTCCACTACTACAATGAAACTACTGATACTGTTTAATCATTTAATGGATTGGGTGTGAAAATGCAACGTTGCCAAATTTACATTTACCGTAGCAAAAAATTTAACTAAAGTTTTTTATTCAAAAAAATTTTTTTTTTTTTTTTTTTAACTTTAGTTTAAAGTACAAACTAAAACTCATAAAATTTTTTTAATTGTTGCAAAAGCCCCCAAAAATATTGTTTTTTTTTTTTTTTTTACCTCAAAATGACTCATAATTTATTTAAATCATTTGGGCTTTTACAATTAATTTTACGTCACAAAACTGATTTTTCTATTATCATATTTTAATACTCGATGACAAATGAATCATTGCTAATATTAAAGATAACCTTTTTTTTTTTTTTTTTTATTTACACTGCAACAAATTTTTTTTTTTTTTTTTGTGAACATCTTAAAACATTTGATGAGTAAAGTGATTTAAAATAAATTATTAATTACAAATTAATATGAAGTTTTGAAATAATTACATACATATGATTACTTCAAGTAATTTTATCAAAATATTAAAATAATAATTTTTTTTTTCACTTAATGATTTATAATCACAAACAATTGAGACAACATTTTATTAAAAAAATTAAATTGTTTTCTAATAATCACAAGTAAAATTTATATATATATGCATTTTAAAAAATGAGTTTTTTTTTTTTCAACGACAAATCTTAGAATTTGTTGAGAGCTAGTGATTTTAGTTGAAATATAAATTTTAGTAAATTTAATCTGTCCAAGTTTTATCTCGAGTAAAAAGTTTAAACTTTGTCATATAATTAAAAGTTGTACAATTAAATATAAAATTAACTACAATAAAACTAATTACCTAATATTAATTTTTAAATCGACAAAATCTGAGTAAAAAATTAAATAATTTGACACAATTTATCTTATCGAGTAATAATAATATAACCATTAGCAAGTTAATTTATTATTTAAAAGTACAAACGATAGAATATTGTTTCCTTATTCATGAAAATTAGTTAATATCGATAAAATGAAAGTTTTATTGTGTACAATTCATTAGTTTATAACAGTTTTTCCCATAGTTCAATATCTCCCTAAATTTGTTTTAAACTCTTATTGGGTTATGATCCTCATTTATGATTGTGAACTGCATCTCGATTAAGTTTATTTAAAGATTAGTCTTCTCTAATTTAAAATTTTAATTACAAAATGATATTATTTTATTAAAAGCATGTTTTATTATGTATGCATCAATTTTAACAATTAAAAAAAATTATAAAATGAGAATAAAATATTGTAAAATTTTTTAAAAGTCAAAAACTCTTGCATACATATTTATTTTTATAACCTCCCGCCTTTTCCCTTGAAAAGAAATACATTTTTGTTTATATTTTATAAATATAATAAATAAAAAGAAATATAATTACCTCCTTATGAAATGAATGAAAAAATAATAATAATTAAATAATAACAAAAACTTATTAATTAAACAAAAAAAAAAAAAAAAATGAGAACGCTAACAACTCACTGGATAAAGCCAAAAAGTATGTTTGAAATCTTTCAGGTAGTTACGTCATCAACAAGGTTACCCGTTATGGCTAACAATGAGACCCCCACTTTAAACCATCCGCCGTATCTCCTCTAAAAACTCGTAAAATATCTCTCCAATAGCGTGAATATCTAAAAATAATTTTAAATTTTTTTTTTTTTGTTGCCATTTTAAAATCAGGTCTTTTGAGCAAATAATAATAATAATAGTAAAAACCAGACGACATTGAAAATCCAAATTTAACAAAAAGTTATATTTATCCAAGTTAATATTAACAGGATAATTTGTTTAAAAAATTTATTTATAACGAAAATGAATCAAAGCATTTATTCCAAAACAAACAATATATATATATATTTTTCTACTTGTTATCATCATTATCTTATCAGTAACAGATCGTCATTTAATTTATTAATAACTTGAAATTTATGTAATTATTTTAACTAATTAAACAAAAAACCGAAAAATAATTTTCTAACTCCTCCTTCCCCCGCCCTTCTGATCAATGAGAAAATTTTTTTTTAAAATATCTCAAAGCAAAAGTTTATTATTTTATTGCTGCGGTTGTTGTTGTTGTTGTTGTTATCAATTCGTTTGTTATCAAACCGACACACGTACAACAATCTCAATTTGATAATAAATAAATAATTTTATTTTACTAAAAGAAAACTTTTTTTTTTTTTGTTTATAATCAACAAATTATTTATATCACATTAGTTTACAACATTTCCATAACACGTGACTCTATTATACTTATTATTATTATTATTTTTGTTTAAATAAATTTTTTTTTATTTAAGAAATTTCAAATTCTCGTACCTGATCGTTTAAATAAAACTTAATAACAACAAAAAAAAATCGTTATAATAATTAAACAAAAACTTATTTATTTATTTAATATTAAACAAATTTAATTATTATTATTATAATTATTAATTAAGTAACTACGATAAAATTTTTTTATTTACATTATTAATTAGTTATAAGAGAGATTATTTAAATTTAAATAATTTATTATTATTATTTATTCGGAGCTTTATATCATTAAATTTTTTTTTATTGGCACTTTTATTTATTATTATTATTATTATTATTATTATTATTATTATTATTAGACAATATATTATTATTATTATTATTATTAATTTTCATCTAAATAATATTCAACGGAAGACTAAATCGCACTAATTTATATTTTAATTATGTACGTCGTTAATTAAACAATTTTTTTTATCATTATATTCAGATATGTGTCAAACGTAAAAAAAAAAAAAAAACTTTAATTATAAATAATAATAATAATAATAATGGTGACGAAAAATAATAATAATAATGTTAAAATTAAGGGATCCCGAATTTTTTTTTGGTTTTTAACGTAAAACAATTTAAATTTTTTTCTATCATATTCTGGTCCCTTTTTTTTTTTACAAGAAACAAACAACTTATATTTAACTTATGTACGGATGTATTAAATAACATAATTTAACAATTTTTATTAATTATTAATCTCTTTCGTTTGACAATTTAATAATTTATTTATTTATTTTTTTTACATAAGAATTTTTAAATTTTATGTAAGAATTAACGCGGGAAAAAAAAAATTTTCATATAATTATTATTATTATTATTAATTATAAGGCAAATAACTTATAATAATTTATAAATCTAATAAAGTTTAATAAAATGCATAATCATTTTCAAAAATAAATAAATAAATATGCCACTCAACCAACAGTTATTTAAATAATAATAATAATTCTTGGTAACTAATTAATAATTAGGTATTATTAATGTACATACGTTTAAAAAAAAGAAGAAAAAATAACAATAAATAACATGGATACACCCTGTACAAATCTCTCATATTCCAATAAATAATTTATTATTATTATTATTATTTAGTTCTGTTCCAGTAACGTTGAAGATATTCACTCAAGGCAATTAATAATTATCATTATCCATAAATTTAACGGTTTTAACTGAAAATCACAAAAAAAAAATCCTGAGAATTAATTAATTATTTAATTATTTAAACGTTAAAAAATGGCAGTGGTGATGGTATTATTGAATTACAAACAAACAAACAAAAGGTAAACAGATAAAACAATATCAACATGATAATAAGAATAATAATAATAATTAATATTTATATAACATCAAACGGTTGTGACACGATCGACTTCAACGTAACGAACAGAACCATCGCTGTGTCAGCAAATGACTTCCTTCTTTTCAAAAATGGAAGATTCCGATGGTACGGCAGAAGAAGAATGATTTTTTCTCCTTTTTTTACAACTTCGGAGGGTGGCTATCACAATCGCAGTCAACAGACAAATGATACCTATTACTCCAAATGCTAGGTAAAGAGGAGGAAGTTGAAATATTATGTAACAATGTCCTAGTGATTCGTCGTAACCCGAAGGACAGTGTACGGTTCCATCGCACCACAATGAAGAATTTATGCAAGCGTCTAATTCTGGACATTTATGAATACAGTCTTTCATGACGTAACCCTCTGGAGGTAGTATGGGTTTCCTGGAAAAAATTTTTAATGGAAATTTATCAAATTTTAATTATATATGTATGCTTAATTTTTATTTTCTTCTTACCTTCGACCTAATTCCAACCAGGTTACCGAGTATTGTCCATCTTCTTTTCCTAAATATTCGACAAATATACATTTCGATCGAATTACTTTTTCACTAGATTCGTCCCTTAGTATGGCCATTGTTGCATCTTCTTGATTTTCCGTATCGCTTAAATGCCATCCAGAAGAAAACACTTCAGCGATTCTACGCTTGTCTGATATAAGTGGCTGTGGACAAACCACAGAATTGAGCATTCCTCCTGTGTATATCATGACCCGATTTTTCGTGCCGCAAGTATTTGTTTGAAATGTGTGAGACACGTTATTCATTGCCTCCTCGTAGGTTATCAAATTTTTATCAATGTGTGCCCCCTTAGCTTTTACGTATAAATATTTACCCTCGGATGGTGTTATGACCCACGGCTGATATTCACAATTTATCTGAAAAAAAGGAAAAGAATTACGTTTTTCCGGTTTAAAAATCTCAAGAGTTAATTTCTTAAATTTAAATTACTTCTTCGGGTGTTTTACTCGGTGAAACAAAATGAATTTCACCGCTTGGACCTTTCAATTGTTGCGATCGAGGACATATTGTTTGCTGTACAAATTCCCAACTTCCCTCGAAATGAAATGTTTTAAAATCATCCATTGAATTCATATTTAACACTTCGAACACAACTTCAACGATATGCCCCGATGAGACAAAGTTTAACGGTGTTAAACCGTCTCCTCCGGAACACAAACAATCACGTGGTAGGGGAGGTGCGTTCCGAAGGGGATATTCATAAATCCGTACATAAGCAGACAAATTTCCGTGACATAGAATTTTATTTATATCTGGATGATATAAACTCTTGCATGGTCTGGTACCCATGCCAACATTTTGTATGTTTATTTTTATTTTTTCTCCTTTTTTTCCCTCGAACCTGTAGATACAGCTGTAAACATTTTGTAGAAATTAAGGTCACGTGATCATATATTGTCATGTGATCATATTTATATAGTAATTTTACCTGAGATTGGTGTTACCACCTCTACCGTATAGAAAAACATCTTTTGGTGACTGAAATTTTTGAACTGTATTTAATGATTGCCCTTGTGTACGGCTAACAAATTTTCTTGAGCAAAGACCATCTCCGAAAGCTTCTCCATCCTGGTGCAAATCTACAAACTCGTAAAGAGCTTTAAAAGACACGTGCCTAAAAATTAATAACTATAACCTTTAACCTTTTCAAATTTTAAACGGTAACGCACGGTTTGATACAAAAATGTTGCAAGGTTATACCTTAACGCTGTAGCTTCTTTGAGCCTTAGTTGAAGAGTTATTGCATTTTTGGTTGATAGAAAACTTTCATTTAAAGAACAGGGTCTTGGACGGTGTGTTTGATTACCCAAAAGTTCATGGTCACATGTTTTAGCAATTTCATCACGGCAATATTTCGCTAGAAGAGTTGCATTTGATTTTTTTGACGTCATTATTCTAATTTTATCTGCGTCACTAAAAATATGTCGGAAAAAAAAAATTTAAAGAAAATGTTTTATGTAAGTTTTGATTTAAAATTTCGAGCCCTGAATTTCCTACCATGATTCGTCGTAACAATTTTGATCTCGGAAATTTCCATCCCACACTTGTAATCGAATTGCACAGGGATCTTCGGAAGATGTTAAAGGAGGACTCACGTCAAATTTTAAAACCGACAGCCAAATTTTATATCTAGGCGGAGGAGAAGAAATTTGTTTTTGCCAAAATTTCGGATCGTATTGAACGGGATACCTCCCCGGCATCGGTCTAAATGTTGGAGTGGGTCTAACTGTCTCACCACCTTCTAAATGATATGTGCATGTTGTGTTTGGTGTTAGGGAGTGTCTCGGAGATTCTAATATTCCTCTTCCGGACCCTTTTAAATTAAATTCGCATCTTTTGTTTCTTATGTAAGACACAGCTTCTTGGTCTAAAAAACTTACCTACAAATAGATTAAAAAAAAAAAAAAAAAAAAAAACTCATCACGTAATAAATTTATAATTTTAAAATGAAAACTTACTTCGACTTCCAGTTGAAATCCGTGAAAACTTTGTGGCGTTCCAGGAAACAAAAATGTACCGTAGGGAGAAGTTGTAAATTCCACCAATAGTTCAGGACCGCTTGAAGTCACTTCAGGCACAGCTTTTCGTTCTCCGCAAAATTTCAATAATGGAGAATCTCTTGTCGTGTATCCATCGTATATGGTTACGTAATCCTGCACTTCATCGCACTCGGACCACACCTGCGATATGACATAAAAAACATGCTTCTAAAATTTTCCAACATTTTCGAAAATGAACCGTCAAAAACTAAACAAACAAACCTACACTCAATTCTTTCGATTGTTGTTCCGACTGCTGTTGTGGGGGTCTGCTATATAACGAAGCACTACTTCTTATAAAAACTAAATGTGCGTTTGGTTGGCGAACGGTTATGACCGCATGTTTCCCAGAGGGAACTTTTTGTTGTCTCACGGCATAATAACAAGTTAAATTTCTAGGATAAACTCCTGGAAAATTAGGTGACTGAAGTCTGCATAATTTTTCGTTACAGTCACTAAATATCCGTGAGCAGTACGTTCCAGATATTAAATCACCTAGATAATAAACATTTGAAGAAGATTTTGGAGGAGGTAAATGGTACGTTTGTTTGTGAGACGCATTAACAACATCCGTAACCGTATTATCGTTCCAAGAACTCGGTGGTATTCCTCCGTATTTAACAATGGCCGAATTTTTTTTTAAAGTCTTATAATAAATTTTAATATCGAAATTATAACTAGATTGATCTTTGGAAAGTATACGCAAATTTAAAACGACCGTTATTTTATTAGTTTCCGAATAATAAAGCGTTGGTCCCCACGATGTACCGCACCACTTACCACCAACTTGAGGTCTGTCGACTTCTAATATTTCCAAATATCCGTCGGGACATCCATCTTTTATAAATGATAAAAACGTACCGATTGTAAAACTATCGAAGGCAAGCTGCAAAATAAAAACAAATAAAACATTTAATTAAAATTTTTTAATAAAATTTTTTTTATTTACCGTCGTTTTAATAAATAAATAAATAAAATGATGAATCGTAATAAATTTTATTCGAGTTAGACGTTCGGTATAATTTATTACCATTTAATCACCCCCTAAGAACCAACAAATGAGATTTCCCCCCCCCCCTCCATTTTACGTCAAACATCCCAAAAGTAATAAATTTAATTTATTTAAAAAAAAAAAAATACATAAAATAAATAATAATAATAATAATTTGCCTTCATTAAATACGGTTTTATGTTGTTTTCAATGCTCGCGATGAATTTAATAGTTTTTAAAAAAAAAAACAAACAAAACCTACGGGAATAACGGGATAAGGAATAAGGGAAAACAGGAACGAACAGAATTCAACATGATAAACACGCTCTTCTTATAACAATCATCACAAAATTAACAAAAATGTTTACGTGTTTGTTTATGTTTTCTAATGTTTTCGCATTCGACGTTAAAATTTTCATAAAGAATTTATATAAGTAAAAGATTTTAAATTTGTAAAAATTTGTTTGTTTTTATTATACGTGCGTGTGTGCGTGCGTGCGTGCGTGTGTACGTGCGTGAATTTTTAACGATGAATTTATGAAAAAAAAAAATAATAATAATAATAAAAAGAACGGTTTTCTTTTCGATTTTGATTTTATTTAAAATTATTTTTACTTACTTGAACGATGTCGCCGAGTTCGTTACTTCCGGCTTCAAATATCAAATGACAAATAAACGGAAGTTTATCTTCTTTAGGCCTGTGTATTTCAACATCGTATGTTTTTCCAACGTCGCCATAATACGTTCTATTGCAGGCTGTTAATAAATAATAATAATAATAATAATAATAAAAGTTTTGTTTCATCATCATCATACGAATAAAACGAAATTAAAATTATTTAAATTAAATTAAATTAAATAAAAAAAATAAATAAATAAAAATTTTTTTTTCTACGTTTAGTTTCGTAAAGTTTTCTTGTTGTTGTTGTTGTTGTGAGGTCCTTAAAAAACAAACAAACAAACAAACAGAAAAAAAGAGGTTTCGAAAAAAAACTTATTAAAAAAAAAAAAATTTTTTTTTTTAATTTTCTTGAGTGTTTCATATTTATTTATGGTTAAAAAAATTTAATATCGGATTTAATAATAATAATAATAATAATTAATTAATTAATGTGAAAGTTTCAACGAAAACTTATAAACTTTTTTTTTTTTTTGGGACGTCATTTTTTATAAAAAAAAAAAAAAAAATTTATATAAAATTTTAATCTCTGTGAATAAATTTTGCAACGAATAAAATTTTATAAATTTTTTTTTTATTAATGACCCTTTAATGATTTTTTCTTAAAATTATAAAATACGTATTAATAATTTATCATCTGTTTCATTATTTCTTTGTCTTCTGCTTCGAACGAATGCCATATGTTAAAAATAAATCGATTTTAATTTTTAAAAAAAATTTTTTTTTTTTTCTGTACAATGTCTCGTAATTTACAATCGTTTTGAAAAAAGAAAATTTTCTGTTGTAAAAAAAATTTTTTCTTTTTTTTTAGAACGGATGAATATGATTTGATTTTGAAAAATGAGCAGACGATAATTTTCTTTTTTTTTCTGCTGCTGCTGCGTCGGGTAAAAAAATTTTTTCGAAAAAAAAAAAAAAAACATTTTGTTTTGTGATTCCTTTTTGAATATTTTTCATATCGATTCAATTTACATTCATCTCCGTTATATTGAAAATTGAAATTTTCTAGAATATTCGACATGAATATAAAAAAACACAAATTTTTTCTGTTTCGAAAAAAAAAAAAAATTCGTTAAATCTCATATTGATATTTCTACGACTTTATTTTTTTTTTATCAAAAGCGCAAAAAAAAAATGGCGTGAATAAATTCAACGTTAATAAATAATAATAAAATAAAATTTTTTTTTTTTTTATTTCATTATTTCCGCTCCATTTTATTTCTTATTTTAAAAATTTATACGAATCTATTATTTATATATTTATTTAATTCGAAATTTAAAAGATTATTTTGTTTACGACGACGACAAAATTCAACAGGTTTTTTCCACTATTTATTATTTCCCTTTATTATTATTATTATCACTAATACAATTCCACCAAATAATAAATATATATACAAACGTAAATATAAAATTCGCAGGGAAAAATGTTTTTGTTTACTTTTTTTTCAATGACGTCACAAAATCACGTGTCAATTTGTAAAATAGTAATGAATGAACATACTCACGGGTACAAAATCTGGGTTCGTCGGATTCGTCCCCGCAATCGTTTTTACCGTCACAGAATCGGTTTGTGTGTATACATAGACCGTTGTTGCATTGAAATTCCGATAATTTGCATCCGATTACAGAAGAAATAATAATAATAATAATAATAATAGTTCCAAAGAATAATATCCTTGGATAAATCCAACCAATAACCATTCTTACTCGGAAATCTACAAATAAAAACAAAAGGAAACGATAATAATAATAATAATGATAATAATAATAAATTCCACTTGATTTATTTTTAATTAATTAAAATTTATTACTCGAAAACGATGATTTTATTATTATTATTACTTATTTTCACTCATTAAAACAAAAATCAAAATCAATAAATCCCTAAAATAATAAAATTGTTTACGATTATTATTATTAACGTTTATTATTATTAATAAATTTTATACGTTTCCTTTTTTAAATAATCATAATAATAATAATAATAAAGTTTTAAAAAATTTAGAAATTTTCCTCCCCCCCATTATTATTTATATAATTTGTTTTTGGGGGTTGGTGTGAACAGGTGAGAAAGATGAAAATGATGCATTTCCGTGAATAATTTTCCGGAAGAAAAAAAAAACAAAAAAAGAGAAAAGGAAATGAGGAAAATCGATTTTTTTTTTTTCATTTTGTTTTTCTTCTGCTTTTTTTTTTAAATAAATAAATGAAAAAAAAAAAACCATTAGTCGGTCGTCGGTGATTAATAGCGATTGGGAAAAAAAATTTTTTTTTCTATAATGCATTATTTGAAAAGAATTTTTTTTTTGTGTTTTTCCTTTTCCCATTCCCATTCCCATTCATTCATTCATTCATTCATTCCGGTTTTTTTAAACAATTCAACTTTAAAAAATAAATAAATAAATAAAAAATGTCACAGGATTGAAAAAATAATTAAACGAGGAAAACATTTTTTTATATTTTTATTTTTAAATGTTTTTTTTTTTTTAATTGTTTAACGAAACACGTTATGTTTTTTGTTTAATTATGTTTTTATTTTTGTTTTTTTATGTTTTTTTGAATAATATTTACATTAAGAAAAAAATAAATAAATAAATAACATTTTTTTAAAATTTAAATTTAAATTACTTCGTTTTATTATTATTATTACTATTATTACTATCATTAAATCATTTCGAAAAAGTTTTTATTCGAAAAAAAGCATTCATTCATTCATTCATTCATTTCCGGATTTTCATTATTCTTACTTTTTTTTTTATGTATTTCCTTTTTGAACAAAGTTTAAAGGGTTAAAATTACTTTAAGATTTTTTTTTTATGAGTTTTATTTTCTTTTATTTTCTTTTTCCCCCTCTCCCCTCCTTTCCTTTTAATTTCCATCTTTCCATTTTTTTTTATTTTCCGGTGTGTAAAATTATGTTTCGAGAGAAAAATTTCTTTTCTTTTTTTTTTACCATTAATTATTATTATTATTGTATAAAAAAAATGTGTTCAGAGGTTTTAATTTCTTATGCACGCGCGTAAAAAAAAAAAAAAAAACTTTTTTGGTGATTGAATTAATCTTTTATGCGGCGTCACTTTTCGTAATTTTCCGTCACCACATACGTCACGTTTAAAAATGAAAATTTAGTCGATCGTTGAATGAAAATCATTCATTCATTCATTTCCGGTTATTTGAATAAAGTAAGTTTTCCAAACGTTTCTATGTAGTGTAACAAACACACACACACTCTCTCCCTCCCTCTCTCTCTCTCTCTCTCTGTCACTCTGTCTGCCTGTCTCCTTCTCTCTCTGTGTTTGTCTCTCTCTGCCTCTGTTTGTCACTTTTAATAATTGAATAAAAAATAAGAAAAAAATGTCAATCAATTAATATCGTTCGATTTGGTGATGACGTCATCACACCCACACACACCTGCCGCATTTTGACCGACGACGTGTTTTACAAGAATATTTAATCGGGTGTAATTAATTCGGAGTTTATTAAACATTTCCATAATTAATTAATTTATTTATTATTAACGCATAAATAAATAAATAAATTATTAAAAAATTTTTATTTTTCGCTTTGTGATGAAAGAAAGAAAAAAAAAAATGTTTTTGAATGATAAAAAAAATATCGATTCGAAATATTTATTTTATAACGTATAAATATAATAAATTTTTTTCTCTCTCTCGATTTCATTTTTTTTTTTTTTTTTTGGAAAACCTTCGATAAATCCTTTTTTTTTGGCAGGTAGAGAAGAAGGGGGGAAGAAAAAAGTTTTCACAAAAACGTGATTTAACTTTATTTAAGTTAGAAAAAAAAAATTTTTTTTTTAACGGATAAAAAGACACGAAAATACGACGACGACGACGACAACGACACGAAAAGTTTGAAAGTGACATAAAATTTTATTTTAAAATAAATCGATTTTAGTTTTTATTTTATCATCATTATTATCATCGTCAAAGGAAAGAGAAATAGTTTTTGAAAAAAAAAAAAAAAAAAAAATTTCCCTGTCAAAAACTTTATTTAAATTTTAAAAAAAAAATGAAAACTAAGATAAAAAGTTAAAAAAAAAGAAAAATTAAAAGGAATTTGATTTTGACGTTAAAATGATTTCAAATAACGGATGGAAAATTATGACGATCAAACAATTTTCCAAAAAAAAAATTTTTTTTTAAAGCCCCTCCCCCCCTCCTCAACGTAATCAATATGAACTAACCGTAGCAAAAAAGGAAAAATTACGATTTATTTATTACAAAGAGCAAAAAAGTGTATAAACCTTAAATGACAAAACTTTCAATGATCCCTTTTTTTTTCTTTTTTTTTTCTTTCCTCCCCCTCACTCCTCCTCCCTCACGAAAAGGAAGGGAATGTGGAGAGTAAATTTACGGTCAAAAAGAGAAAAAAATTTTCTTTTTTTTTTTTTTGGAAAATGATGTTTAATAAAGCAAAAATTTTTTTTTTATAGCAAAAACTAAAAAAAAAAAAAAAAAGAAAGAGATAATCTCGTTAGACGTCGTTTCTTTTTCTTTCTAAGATAAATTTACCTTATTTTTGTTCCTTTTTTTTACCTTTTTTCCTTTTTTTTTTCCTTTTTTATTTTAACGAATAAAAAAAATTTCCTTTAGTTCAAAAGTTAAATTTAAAGTGTTGAAAGGTATAAAAAAATCCTTTTTTTCTACTTTTTTTTTATAAAATCACAAAATTTTAAATTATTAATTTATTAATATAGAAATTATTGTTATTATTATTTTAAAAAAAACCTTAACCTTTTCAGATCCTTTTTTTTACACGACTCCCGATAAATAAATAAAAAATTTGCGTACCGAAAATTGGTTCTTGAAAGTAAAAGACAGACACGAAACGAATCCACACGCGAAAGAGAGAGAGAAAGAGAGATAGAGAGAGGGGGGGAGAGTCAACGAATTGTCGAAATTTGGTTTTAATTCCTATAGGAACTCAGGTTCCCGTGGGAACGTTGGGAAAAGGTTTAAAATTATACTTCCTAGGGGGTCGTTGGAATAATATCAACGTCACAATGTTTTTTTTTTTTGATAATTTTATGTATGAAAATTATTTTATAGATTATAAATAAATAAATAAATAATTTTCGTAAGTTTCGAAACAATAATAATAATAATAATGTAAATCGGTAGAATTTTAAATATTGATTTATTGAATTTCAATAGATGATAATAATAATACTGTCATATCATTTTCACCGAAAATTTTTTCTTTTTTCTTTTTTGTTATGATAATATCGATCGATTAATTTTTCAACTTTTTTTTTTTTAACCTTTAATTTATCATTATTATTATCGATCTATCTTTTATCAAATTTTTATCGTTTATCTTGTAACCTTTTTGCACCTTTCAAATTTTTCAAAAAAAAAAATTTTCCTTTTTTTTCACATAATGTCTTTTATGGAAAAAAAAAGGAAAAAAGGTTTAAATTTTTTTTTTTTCACGCCGGATGTTTTGGACTTTTCCCCCTTTTCTTCCTCCCTCCGTCTCCCCCTCCCCCTCCTCTCTCTCTCTCTTCTTTTTCATAATCTGTTTTCTTTTTTTTTTTTTTTGTGCCACGAGTTTTGGAAGAATACATTTATTTTTTTTCTTCTCCCTTTTTTTTCTTTTCCGATTTTTTACTTTTTCAACAAAATTTTTTTTTTTCTTTTTTTTTTTTCTTCACGTTCGCTTTTCAAATTGAGTTTTCCTTTTTTTCCTTTTTTTTTTTTTTTTTGAAAAAAAGAAAATTTTCCACTTTTCTTTTTTTTTTCAGTCAGACATCAAATATCTTATTTTTTATTTTATTTTATTTTTTATTCCATTTTTGAAATTTTCTTTCGTTTTTTTCTTATTTCTTATTTTGTGATTTTTCCTTTTTTCCCCCTCCCCCCCGCCTTTTTTTCCTTTTTTTTACCTGGACAAAACATCGTTCCAGCCATTCCTTTTAAATTCTTTATAAATTACTCCTTACTTACTCCTCCTTCCTTCCCTTTCATGTCCCTCTTGCTCTTCCCCCACCTCCCCCGCCCCCGAATCCACTGATTCGTGCTTTTTAAAACTCTTTTTTTAATATTACGTAATAAAAAAACAAATAATAATAATAATAATAATAATAATAATAATAATTACATCATAATATTATAAGAGCTTAATACGATAATAATAAAAAGTTAAAAAATTTTTTTTCTTCTTCCCTCTTCTCCTCTTCCTTACCCCCACCGCTCCCCACCCCTCACAACCTTTTTAATTTTCTTGATAATTCATCCGCGAAAAAAAAAAATTGAAATAATCAATAATCAATAATCAATAATCGTTTTCTTAAATTTTACATCGTAAAAAAAAAAAAAAAAGAAAATTTATATTATAAGAATAAGATAATTTTTTACAATTGAATTACAGTATATGAAATTAATCAATAAAAAAAAATGGTTTAATAATAATGATGATGATGATGATGATAATTATAGTGATTTTCTTTTTAAATGGAAAAAAAAAAATTATTATTATTATTATTTTTTTGACTTTGAAGCTCATCTTTTCCGCTTTTTTTTTGGTTGGAATAATGATGAGACGACTTGGGGGTAAAAAAAAAAAAAAAAGTTTTTCTATTATTAATTTAGTTTTTAAAAAAAACCGGGGGGAGGGAAAATGAAAAAAAAATTGGGGGGGTGGAAATCATTTGGGAAATATATTTCGAATGAATAAAAAAT